CCGGAGAAATGGGACCCTTCCTTGCCCGTTGATTTGCGCATTGATGCGACTCTCATCGCTGTGCCCTCTTCAACACTACGCTCTCTCTGCTATCTAATCACTCACGTATAGACCTGCGGCGAGTGATTAGATAGTCGGTGGGCGTACCCCGCCAACCGCGCCAAGAGTGAGCCATGCTAGATCGCCGAGGTCAAATCTTTCGCTGCCAATTGCGCGTCAGTCCGCACCCTCAGGAGGTCCGCCGGTCCTCAACTAGGTGAATTACTCCTTCTTCGACCTTCATTCTAATCGTGAATTCCTCCTTTAAAGCAACAGTCCTAGCAAGCCCATAATTTCGATATCAACAGTGTGGAAATGATGCGTTAGCCCTAGTCAAGAACATATGAAGCGTCACTGAACGAGAAACTCACCATTGGCATGAGAGCGCACAGGCCGCAATTGCCCCATCCTGCTGCGGCCGGACAACTCGTCCGTATCACTCAACTATTAGCTTCAGTAATTGATCGATCTGATAATTTGGGTCTCCAAAATCTCGCTGAGTCCCAAAGATCTAAAAAAGAGCGGATAGCTTCCTGGCCTGATGCCAAGGCAAGAGGAACGGAACAGGAATGTTGCGCGGACGAGTTGTCCGGCCACAGCAGGATGTGGTAATTGTGCCTGTGCGCTCCAATGCCAATGGGATCGCCCCATATGATTACGTGACTACTTGAACTCTCCCCTATGTTCTCTGCCGCGAAAGGCCAGAGCACAGACGATTAGAGAACGGCGCCTGGCTCGGCTCCAAATCCCAAGAAGAAGGTGAGAGCCCTAGGACTAAGCCTTGGAGGGAGGAGGGACTCCGAGTGGGTGAGCCAATTACATTGTGGCAAAGTTTGAATGTGTCAGATCACAGTAATCATAAGCCGCTGTTTAAGCGAGAGAGCGCAGGCGAGAGCATCAAATCGAGGCGGTTTAAAGGACTGAGTTCAAGTTGTCCGTAGACCCGCCCCATATGACGCAAAAACCACGGGAGGGAGAAAAAAGCTCACGGGCGGCGCGGACGCGAGCGCGTGCTGGTGACGTCAAAATGACGTCGCAGCTGCGGCAGCTCGAAGGAAGGGCAAGCAGTGGCCAGCGCCGCTGCCACTTCGCCCAAACAGTGTGGGTTTCTGGCACTATACCAACTTGTTCAATTAATTGTGCCGCGAGAATGTTTATGTTATGTAGGGTACCATCCTCGCAATAGGAATTGGGGTATTTGGAGAATGTGGAGGAAGTTGAGGCTTCCATGTGCAAATTCAAGAAGTACCCAGCCAGTTCATTAAAAAGTCTGTGGTTACGATTAGAGTTGTACTCCTACTTACCTCCACTTATTACTCAGTGATCAAGAGTACGGATATTCTCTCAGAGTACTCAACGTATTAAAATAATGACGGCAGAGCTAGCCCTCACTCGCTCCCTCACTGCCGCCGTGACGTCACCAACACGCGAACGCCCACTTTGACTTTTCCATGAGCGCGACTCAAGAAAGGTATAATTAAACGCAGCGTCACTTGGACTTGCAGCTTTATACAGCAACGTTCAAAACCGAAGTCGAAAGGTCGGCGCAATGTGGCTCGGGGGGCACCTCGCAACATCGCGTCAAAATCACGGAAACGCTCCGTTTTAGGACTAAGCTTTTGAAGAGGAGAGGAACTCCGGTGTACGGAAGCAATTTTCGTATTCTCCGGAGTTCGTCCCTGCTGTTTAGGCTTAGTCCTAGATGACTTTTCTCAGAGTGCCCCCCCCCCCCCCCCCGCCCAACTGCCTCCCGGAGCTCGCATTACTTGGAACAACAGAACACCCTTTTTGTATTTTACCAAAATTTAATGTTTTTTAGATTTTTCCTAACTCCAATCTACCATCTGATCTCAATCGAGATGTTATAAACAGCGATGCTGCTCAACACCCTCAACGACACAATCAGAGCCCAGATTGCCCATGATCATTGAAGAAAAGATGGTGCCTGATGCAAAGCTAAACACAACAAATAAAACAGTTTATTTCAAAAAAAATCACAAAACTGAACCGAAATCAGACAGCATTCGCAGTACTTCCTTCAAATGCCTTGCACTTTGAAATGCTCATGCGGACCACCTTCGGAAAGACAAGCAAACAGCTCCAATGCGAACTTTCCAAAACAATATCAGTGCAATAAAATATCGAGTTACCTAATCCGTATTACCCGTATTTGATGAAATTTGGAGCGCGTCTTTACTCAGTCCGCATTCCAGCCAACCCTGCCTTGAATGCGTTCAGATCTCGTCGGTCCAAAGCAGACAGCAGGTCATGCGGAGCTCACGCAATGTCGAATAGTCCGCCGAACGTAACGTTGGCCAAATGGACGAGTTTTCCTTGCCACCTTTTTGTAAGTCCAGCGCTGATACGAAATGTTCCACAGCTTCTCTGAAAGGGAGGACTGATAAAGAAAACTCTGCCATGGAAACATGAACAATCACATTTAAAGGAGGAATTCGGTAAGAGCGAAGGTCAAAGAAGAGGAAAATTGCATAGTTGGGAGAAAGGCGGACCATCTGAGGGAGCCGACCGACAGTGAAAAGATTTAGCACCTACGGGCGATATGCATGGCCTCGCTTTAATGGCCCGCGGTGGCGGGTACGCCCCGGACGACAATTCTCTCCTCTTCCGAGCAGACCTTGTAAAGTCTGAACCAATCCCCGACAGTGCCCATTTACAAACGAAAAAACCGCCTTCGGAAATTATGATTAGAGATGCTAAGATGCAAGCAGCAGAAAGAAGAAAAATCCGAGAAATGGCCTAAAACCCGAGGAATAGGACCCCTTCCTTGCCCGTTGATTGCGCATTGATGCGAATCTCATCGTGCCGTCTTAACAGATAACAATCTCTACCTAGGCTATGCCTAAATCACTCCTCGCGTTTGCCAGAGGTGAAGTGATTTAATAGTTGGTGGGACGTCTCCCGTGGGAACCAAAAGAAATGCCAGTCTAGGTTGCCGGGGCATATCCTTGCATGCCGAATTGCGTGTAGAGGACTCCGCAACTTGGCGGATCGCGCTGTCCTTAAACCTAGGCTTAATTTACCCTCTTTTATCGAGAATCATCGGTTCCATATCGCGGTACCCATCCCCTTTAGCAATGGACACACTATCCATGCGACAAATCAGTAAGTTTCAGCACAAATGTCACCACCCCCCAGTTACAAAATGGTGACCAAGAAAGGTTCCATCGTCCTAAACTAGGGCAGAAAAGTTTGCTCACCTGTAGCTGTTGAGGTGCAGACAACTGATGCCCAGATTGTATCGAGCCCTCACGTATAGCGGATACCGCTTCAGTGCCTCCCTATAAGCAGCTACGGCTTCTGGAGTGTGATCACCGTTGGCCAACGTGGCGCCGAGGCGATTCCATAATCGTGCATCCTAAATAGCAGTGCCTTCAGTAAGCTTTAAGGCACCGCACGGGTTGGACTGGCCAAGGAATTGAAAGTATTCAGAATAGTATTTATGTATTCAGAATGATAGCATACAACTATAGGTTTCGTTCGGAAAGTCTACTGCCGATTCTGAGCCTAAAATCAAAGCCTCACATCTCGATTCAAGCAACCCACTTTTGGTCGAACTAAAAACCATTGCAACCATCATGAATTTCCTTACAAGACGAGAATTTAATAGACCCAAATATTGAATGTGCTAAAGTTTTATATGAAAGGACATAGCCGATCTTATTTGAAACATCACCTTGGGTTTATAACGAACTCCTATAAAAGACACCCAGAAGAGTTAGGATAAAGTGCGGTTAGATAGGAAGGCCGAACTGTGTGCAATGTCCTTTGCCGTTGCAATAGTTTACGAGATAAGGACAGCAGCAAAAGCTGTGGGAAGATGATTCCACGGCCGCACCTATAACTCCTTAGACTTTCCGTTCAAAAATGTAGTCTTCGCGTTCTTAAGCCATCCTGATTACTTCGACTTACCCAACCCATAATCTTTTTCTATAAATCATCCATCGCGAAGAAGAAATTTTTGAACACTAACACAGTGCTTTTTTATCATGGGTGCGGGACCCCCACTGCTCTTGTTGAAGCGCGGTTTTTTTCGCGATTTTACGGATTAACTCGAGGGGAAACAAGGATAGTTGTGCAGGAGCCGTATACCTATGTTGTATTAAGCACTTGACTTTGAAAAGCGAGAGAGATGCTGAGTATAAAAAACGTATACTTAGAAGAGCCCTGAGCTCGCTTTCACAGGAAAATTACAATGGAGGCAGTTTCGAAAGAATTCCTCGCATAATGACCTATCAGCCCAGACCCCCATATCATTGAGACCTGGATTAATCAGGGGCAGATATTCTCCCCGAACAAACCAAAAGTATTTTCAAGCGAAGTGGAGATCAACCTGACCTCTGGCCTACTCGCTATGGCAAGTTTTATGCACTCCACTGCTCGCTCATAATTCCTGCTCAGATTATACAGTATTCCAAGTGCATTCTGTAGATCAGCATCTGCCGTGCCAGCTTGTTGCCGTGCTGCACTCAAAAAGCGCTCTTCCACCTGAAAACTAGCCAAGAGAAAATCCGAAATTTACTTAAGGAACTCGATGATTGGAAAAGCAACGATGTCTAACAAATACTCAGCAGCTGGTAAAATTCCTCGGTCACAAACACAAAATTGAATTGAGATTTTCTCAAGGCCGTTAGTTGAAGATCGGTGGATTGTAAGGGCGCCTTCTATAACAGTTGCAATTCTGTTCACGTACTCTCAGACATGGTCAACCGTCCGTTGGACAAAGTCCAAAGAGGGGGTCGTATTCGCAAGGTCGGAGGCAGCGTCAATCCTACACCAACGGGGGTCGTAGTGTGATGCTTTACGTGAGTGCTGAGAAGAAAATTTGCCGTTTCATTGTTGATATACCCCCATACCCCTCCCCCTTTCCCCGCTCGACGAAAGAGATATTTGGAGGAAATGTGGGTGGAGTTGGGCTGTGTCAACTGGTCTCAGAATCAAAGTACTATAGTAACAGCTCTGATGGTAAGGGTGGTGGTCGTTATTGGTGGACCTCCTGAGTCTCATGGTGGTGGAGGGGGGTCGTGAAAATTTCCAAAAAGTACCAACGGTAGGGTTGACCCTGAGGAGGTCGTATCGAGGCCCTCCAGATGAGGGTTTGTAAAATTATTAAAATTTGTCCAACGTGACGGTTGACCCTGCTCTCAGACAATGAGTTAATGCTCTCCTATATGTTGTTCCAGCTTACTAAGATGAGCCCCCCTGTTTTTGAAAGTTGAACTTGCCTGTTTGAAAGTGTCGTGGTCAAGGAACGAGCTGTAGCCAGCATGTGCCTTCTGGACCGTTGTTGGATCGCCGCCTTGATGCGCGACCAGCCATTTCTCCAGCTGATTCAACGCCTCATTGTCTACAGATTCATTGGCGAGTGAGACAGATAAGGCGAGCAAAGCCTGAAGAGTTCTTTCATGAGAGTTATTCCTCAAAGAACGCCTACCCTCAAATTCAAATACTGCAACAATTTCACACAAAATCGCTTCTAAGTAGAACATTATTCAATCATTCCAACCTCTTCATTATTCGGTTGGATTTTGAGACATTTATTAAATGCTGCGATTGCTTTCGCGTCGTGTTCATTCTCTGCATGAGACAAACCAAGACGGCACCAAGCCTGAAATTAGTTAGAGAACTGGCGTTGATCCTGATAACTGATATATTGATTGAATCAGAACGCTGTGCCCGTAAACGATAGTCAAGTACAACTGAACTGGGAGTAGGACGTGACTTCAGCAATTTCCATACTCACATTTAGATCCGATTTCTTGCGAGTTTTTTAAAAAAAAAAAAAAAAAAAAATTTTTGGTCTGAGCGGTCCGAATAACGACTCTCTGCTAAGTCATATAAATCCCATTACAATCCTAATGATGAACACCCTAAAGCACAGTAGCATCCACCTTCTTCCAGGCCAAGCAAGTTTCCATTCCCCGAGGTTATATTAGTTGGTAACAGGCTTTCTGGAAGGGGTAAAAGAACTGGCTTTTATATCGCTTGACCCGAATGTTATTTTATAGCCCAAATCGCACTCTTGATGTCGCTACGATCAGAATGAAACTGAATATCTGTAGCTACATCAGGATGGGACTGGTCAACGCCAAATGTTTTTGAATTTCTTTCGAACTCAACGACTTACGCTCAGTATGTTTCTTCGGTTACCTGATTCTCTGCTCAAGGACTATAGATCTCCCCCCCTGGGTGAGAAATAATAGCTGAGGAAAGAACAGATGAGAAGTGTTTGAAAGGAATTCATTCGGAGTGAACGCGGAGAGACCTGCGCACTGTTATGGCTCTCAGTTTATTATTAATATTAGTTGGGAATATTTAAAACAAAATGGTTTGGTTGTGCTCTTCTTCGTCGAACTCTGACCTGTGGAAGGAGCCGGACCGGTCACCGTAAATGTATGAGTATTGCCCCGACAAGCAGGTCCTAGCACAGGTCAGTGAATGATCAAGCGGAAACATCACAGGCGACTTAGCAAGCACACTAGTATTACTACATTAGGGTATTACTTGTCCGCCACAAACGTGCAAGCGAAAAACGTCAGCGTCAGGTCGCTTGCCTCTTACAAGGAAAGGCTCCCAGGTCGTCATGGCCATTCAAGAAAAGATGTATACCATTAGATGTGTCATTGAACGCTGATCTCAAATCTACCTTCAAAATCTGCTAAACGATTCTCTGGATGGAGTTATGGAGCAAAATAGCACCAACGGGGAGTGGTTTGGACTTTACAGTTCCGAACTACGCACGGGCGAGAATTCTTACAATACCTTTATAGCAGATTCCACAAACACGGAGCCTCATTGAAAGCTGCGACCTTTTATTCGATCCGGAGCCGGAGTTGTCATCATAGATAGTCGTAGATATGTCCCTCCCTTATTCGTGATTGCTGTTTCTGAACTCTTCTAGGAATTCAGTCTCATATAATACTAAAGCGCGTTCTAGCTGCCATACTTGAAAAATGCGCAATACAGTAGACATGCATAAAGACGATCCTATACATTATTGATTGTGCAGTCCCGCCCTACAGCCCGCGTTATTTTGCTTCATGAACTCCGTACAGCCAGGACGTTTAGCGATTCGTCAAGGTTAGATTTCAGTCAGCGTCCGCAGCGACACAGTCTAAGCGGTGTATACATCTTTTTCTTGCAACCATGGCACACTGGCTAACCCTGCGGAGCCTTTCCTTGTGAGGTCCTCGATGACAGAATTGGCTTCCGAGAAGCAGCACCTGAACAATACCTCTAATTTCCTTTGAGAAAAGAAATCAAAACAGCAAAAATACTACGGACAAGGTGAATGTGGATGTTCTATACAAGTGAGGTGATTAGTGGGTCAATCATACCTACATCAGCATCTTCTGCGTTCTCTTCTACTGCTTGCACTAATCTTTCCAAATTCTGTTGAAGAGCACGATCTATCTACAACAGCGACAGTCACAAATTAAACAAGAGAAGCAGTAAATTAAGCAAGTGAAGCAACATCAAGAAAGAAATCCCAGGCCACTCATATGTTACGCCGGAACTGAAACAGCTACGTTCAAAGCCAGGTATTTATCAGTTCATGTTCAATTGTTGGAGCACAAGGACTAACAATAAGAAGAACAGCCTTCCTCATTAGTGCGAAATAAGGAAGAGAGAGGGGATGATATGATACCGGTAGCAATCAGTACGCGATGGATTCACACAATTAGGTACCGTTACAAAAAGTGAAGAAGCTCGTTTTCCGACGCTCACTCATCGATATGGTTTTGGAAAACCACACCGATGCTGTGGCTTCCAGATGTGAACTGATTCCAATTTTGCCAGAGAGCAGCATTTCAAATAGACTCTGTTCAAATTACGTGAACAAGCCGTCAGTACATCTTTTCCGCGATTAAGGCAGAATTTACGATGAAAAGTTAGCTCATTGGAAATAAGGGTAGAGGTGGTCAGTGGAGCAGGGATGAAGAAGAAACCATTTGAAACGGCCCGAAACCCGAGAAATGGGACCCCTTCCTTGCCCGTTGATTTGCGCATTGATGCGACTCTCATCGCTGTGCCCTCTTCAACACTACGCTCTCTCTGCTATCTAATCACTCGCCACGTATAGACCTGCGGCGAGTGATTAGATAGTCGGTGGGCGTACCCCGCCAACCGCGCCAAGAGTGAGCCATGCTAGATCGCCGAGGTCAAATCTTTCGCTGCCAATTGCGCGTCGGTCAGCACCCTCAGGAGGTCCGCCTGTCTCCCAACTATGCAATTTTCCCTTCTTTGACCTTCGTTCTTATCGTGAATTCCTCCTTTAAGGCGGTTTGAGCGATGCATACTTCACCCCAGAATGTTAACGAGAGCAGAACTAAAAAAGGGACGATAAAGAGAAAAACTGAGGAAAACGTTCTAAACTCTACAAAACGGAACTCCGCCATTGATTCTCTCTCTCGAGCTTCGCGTCAGGCGTGTCTCATCGATGCCAACGTCATCAACGCTGAAGCCGCCTACAGCTCATACCCCGATCGTTGCCCATATTTATACGTTTTCGATTAATTATCTATTACCATTTCCATACTATAAAGTTAGTTTATTACAATATTTCGCCATCACGACATCTCGTCCACCACATGGAATATGCTAGCCAAACATATTCTACAGTCGATATCCGAAAGTTGGGGTGGTGTGTCACCGGAAGTGACGTGCACTTGATAGAAGTGCGTGGATAAGCTGTTGCCAGCATGCTTTGCTGATAGCCAGCGATGTATGTTGGAAGCAGCTTATCCACATAGTTTCTATCAAGTGCACGTCACTTCCGGTGACACGCCTACCCCAACTCACCGATATCGAGTATAAGAAATTTACTATGTTATATACACGTCCCAACAAACGTTAAGTCACATAGTACGTGCCCATCGACGGTTGTGCATCTCCCCAATCCCATACAGCCCCCACCACCTCCTCCGCGCCAGCTCCATCCACAAGCTCGAGCTACACTTTAGTTAGAGTTAGTTAGTTTAGTTAGTGCTATTACTCTTTAGTTAGTGTTAATTAGTTACAAACTTCTCCCCGCTTCCCCCCTTTAACCCAGCCGACATGAGTCAAACTCCGGAAAACTGACAGATTTGGCCGCAATTCCCCGTGCCTTTCTTCCCTACCAGGAAGGATCTTTCAGGGGCGTGCAAGCTTTTTGAAAACGGTCTTTTGCATGATATAGGGGCAGATGCGGGAACCACAGAACCATGTTTAATTTTTCCTGAACGGCCCTCTGAATACCAGAAAAGGAGGTCCCTAGTTCGATTCCTCGTGGTGACAAATTTTTGCATTTCGAGTTGACGTTCCAAAATTCGCGCAAAATGGAGTTGCATGAATAATTAGTACCATATTCATGATTAGGACCGTCAGTAACCCTTACAAAAAGACTTTGACTTAAAAATTGGTGTAAGAGGTGTGACACCAAGCAGCCCCACTGTGGTGTCACACTTTTTCACCAGTTTTTTAATCAAAGTCTATTTGTAAGGGTTACTGACGGTCCTAATCATGAATATGGTACTAATTATTCATGCTAACTCCATTTTGCGCGAATTTTGGAACGTCAACTCGAAATGCAAAAATTTGTCACCACGAGGAATCGAACTAGGGCCCCTTTTCTGGTATTCAGAGGGCCGTTCAGGAAAAATTAAACATGGTTCTGTGGTCCCCGCATCTGCCCCTATATCATGCAAAAGACCGTTTTCAAAAAGCTGGCACGCCCTGAA